GTGTGTGTGTGTGTGTGTGTGTGTGTGTGTGTGTGTGTGTGTGTGTGCACATATACATTTATATATTTACACATAAATATAAACATGTATATAAACATGTGTGTGTCTATCTATCTACCATTATATACATCTATCTACTGATCTCCGTTGATACATGGTTGTGTGTCTGTGTAAGTGTATGAGTCGGTGCCTGTGTCTGTGCGTGTGTGTGTTTCGTACATGTGCAGCCAATCTTACTTAAATAAAATGACTTGAAACCATATAAAATGTTTAGACCATTTTCATATCAGTTTGAACTTGGCTACTTAACTAGAGAAAGATCTAGAACAAATGAACTTATTTCCCCCCTCATGTGAATTCATTAATGCATTTATCAAGAATAAGAATACACAGATAGAATGGAGACATGTAATAGAATACATAAGAGATCACTTATATAAAGCCTTTTTCTCGATTGTAACAATACTACAATAAAAAATTTAATATGAGCTTCAGAAAATAAGGAGTACTAGAAAAATTATTTGTCAAATAGTACTGTGTCTCCAATGATCGCAGCATCCCTTTCTTTCTAGGTCTTTCTTAAACTATTGCTCCCTCCCTTTCCTTTGTTTACCATTCGCCAAGGCAGAGAAAATGCGCGAGGAGTGAGCGTCGTCTGCAAAGGGCGTAGTTCCTTTCTAGCTGTAACTTACCATATCCGAAATGCAAAAAAAAAGAAGAAAATTTGACTCCATCACAATTGCGGCCTATTAGAGGGAAACTGACTAGCTGTAGTGGCCCAAAGCAAGGGAGAGAAAGGGGAGGAGGGAGGGAGAGGGAAGGGAGGATTTCAAGCAAGTCGGACTTGCACTTTCCCTTGGCAAGGAGCAACCGACTGAGGGGATTGGCTACGCCTCGACCTTGCGGTCAGGTACTCGACCCCCTCTCCCTCTCTCCCTCCTGTTTCTCTCGGCAGCTGTTTTGCATTACGGCGCATGCGTTAGATTTTACTTCGGCTTCTCCACCTATATAAGGCCTCGGTCTTGTCATCAGGGACATCATTCACTCACATCTCCATCACTCAAAACATCAGCAAAGGTGAGAGTGCGCAGAGTGAGTTCTAAGGTACTTTGGGCAGCCAAAGAAAGACCACTTGTATGACAACGATGCTACCAGTATTTGCCACGGACTTGATGTGGTTTTATGTATCTTGTGATATTTGCAAATGTGTTAGTAACAGCTCCTTCAGTTTGTTCGTATACAGATCTTTGGCCACGTGCATTTTCATGCGATATAGAAACAGTAAGCATCCTTGCTAAGTTACTCAAATTTTCAAAAGTATAATCAACCCTTTTTAGCGAGTTTTCTTCATTTTACTAGTCATAACATCTTTTTCATGAATCCGGCTCCTCTTCCAGATGCACCGCAACGCCCTCTTCTCCGTCGCCGTCGCCTTCGGCCTGCTCCATCTCGCCAACTCCATCCTGCTCCTCGATGCCACCGGCACACTCACCGCCGCCTCCTTGTCTACCATCGGCGTGGGCGTGGGCGTCTCCACCACCACCGCCGCTGCCGCGACCGCGCTCGCTGGCGTGGGCGCCCTGGCAGCCGCTGGCGTGATCCTGGCCGCGAAGGCCTCCTCCTCCAACGGCAAGCGCTCCGCCAACAGCTGCTTCCCCGTCAACAACCCCGACCTGTTCATCACCCTCGCCGCCAACTCCGACAAGCTGGGCTGCGGCATGCGGCTCGTGTGCGAGCTCGAGGCCACGCCCGACGAGGCCCTGTCCCACGAGGAGCGCCTCATCCTGGGGCTGTTCGGCCGCTCGCCCGCGCCGGTCAACTTCGACCAGCTCAACACCCCCAAGGCCGGCTTCCAGTACGCTGCCTTCGTGGGCGCCAAGGCCGCCTCCGTCGCCGAGTGCGCCTCCACCTTCAACCAGTGCCCCTTCGACCGCGCCACCATGATCGAGGCCTTCCAGAGGAGCGGCACCAACGCCCTGTGAGCGGCGTTCCATCATGAGGCTGGTCAGGCACTCCGTCCTTTCCTCATTTAAATTTAATTTTGTGATTCTTTCAGTCATGCACTCTCTCTTTCCTGTGGTAAGATAGCCTGTACATATACCAAAGGAGATTTTATACCAATATTTTCTGTGTAATAAAATGACCAAAAATCATATCTCAGTTTTTTCGATGTTACAACTCTCCAGTCACTCGAAAGGAATCCAGTGTTGTAATTCTTAGAACTAAAAGCTAAGCAACAGAGATTTCACAAGACGTCATCTAAAGAACAATAAACTACAGTTAACTACACTAACAACACACCAACAAGGGCGGTGTTGTTGGAGAACCACACTAATCTCATTCAACGAGAAAGTGAGACCGCAGTTGTGCCTACTGGAGGCATGTGCACGAAGGGGAACTAAAAATGGTTTTGATGATACGGTGTATGCCTTTCATTTGCATCAGTATCTAGATTTGCTTGTTTGAGTCGTAAGTGAGAACGAAGATACACAGTTGGAAAGATTTGAAGAAAATGTGGACACAAACCCACACACTCAGACACACACACACACACATATACATTGTGTATATGTGTGTGTGTGTATTTTTGTAAGAGGTTACGTGCTTGTGTGTGCTTCCGTCTGGCTCTAGCGACACGTCATACTCGGTGTACAATGATTACATTTTTAGAAACTATGAATGAGATAATTTTTTTTCAATACAGGTTATTTATTTGTCGAGTCTACTTCATTCAGTCTCTTCTGACCAAATATTAAAGTGGTACTGAAAGCAGCGAATTGCGACAAAAAGCAGCAAAAATAAACATAAGTGAACATAAGTATTAAGTGTCATTTGCCAGATTTAGTTTTGAGATTGAAAATACTACTGTCACATCTTCAACAGAATTAAACTTTACACTATATTCAGTTAATATGACTTGCTTTATTAAAACACATTATTTTTTGCATCAAATTTGTCATTTGCAAATACGGGATTTTTATACCATAAAAGAAAATCTTAGTTAATTCAATCATTTTCAGCTCAATCAAATACGGGACACAGGAAAATTGGAGATATGTTACAAAGAAGAGGGGAAGGGTCTCTGTCTCTCTCTCTCTCTCTTATTCTCTCTCTCTCTATCTATCTATCTATCTATCTATCTATCTATCTCTATCTATCTATCTCAATTACTCGCTCTTTTCCTCTTTCTTTCTCTCTTCCATTACAAAATCCTCAGCAATTCAGTCACTTTCACTATACATGGAGCCAAACAAACACTAGTCTTAAGCGGTATAGAAGAATATGTAACGATAGAACACTTGGAGCAATTGTTGCTGTTCTTTAGAGATTTTCAGTGGAAGAATTATTAAGGAAAGGAAAGATTAGAGTATCTATCTATCTATCTATCTATCTATCTCTCTNATATACTTCACTATATATATTTTATATATCATATATTACTAATATATACATATCAAATATACATATATGTATACGTTGTATATATATTATATATATATATATATATATATATATATATAAATGATATGTATATGCATATACATTTACATATGTATACACATATATAGGTTTATATTTGTGTCTCTGTTTAGATATACATAAATATGTCTATAAATTTATCTATGTATATGTTTTGTTTTTGTACCTTAATAATACTACGGTAAAAAAAAAAAAATACACAAACGAGATTTTATATATATATAACGCGCATGAGCACATTTCTTAATATATACACATGCGTCTATAGTTAAATATATATATAAAGACGTGCATTTGTATATTTTATACAAATGCACATATATATTTATGAACATGTGTGCGTACGTGAGTATTATACATGAGTATATATATTATTAGCTCATTCTTCTGTGTGCATTCCTCTGATATGTAAATCAACAATTAAGAAAATATTTCAATTGTCTGAAATTATTCACCTCAAGTTCATTTTTGAGACGAAAATAATTGTACCTCTTGGCTGTGACCTTGTGCTGCTGAGTATTCACATCGCAGACCAGTATATATAGCATCCGCCGTTCTCGGTGATAGAGCAGTCGCTGTAGGTAAAGTCAACAGAATGGTTAGTGATATATCTATTTAGCATTGTTTTTATCTGTAATGCTTCCTGTTGGTGTTGTTTAATAAGGTGCCACTAGCAAAAAATAATTGTCAAAACACAACCCGTATCTAGCTAGATTTTCATGTCACCTCCGGTGGTTTAAGAGATGTTTCTCATACATGAAGCCAGAGTAATAATATTACTTAATGTTATGATACTAAAAAGATTTTTAAAAAGGCAAATAATTTCCATAACAAGGTTTTCGCAAAATGTATACAAATATCTTTTGCCGGTAAAGCTAGCAATGTTTCCCTTTCAGATAAATTTCCTAGTCACCGTGAGCGCCGCCTCTTGTGCTCACACGCCTTCGCTGCGAGTAGCTACTTGGGACTTGCCCAGGGAACGCCACTCGGAGGATTTTCGCAACATGGCACTCTTCACGGTGGCTTGATCCCCGGTGGTCTTTATGGCAACGGTGCGTCCCTTGTCAACACGGACTTCCACTGGGACATTTGCCGGACCGATATACGGGAGTGGAGGCTACTTGGACTACGCATACGGGACTGGTGCGAATTTTGGAAATCCTTATGGAAAAT